TTCACCCCACCCACCCACCCCGCCAGCCGCACACCTGCATGGTGGCCTTGGATGCGTGCGCGCCCGTGCGCAGCGCATCCACCGTCTCCACCGTGGTGCGCAGGTTCTCCAGCCCCATCTGCTGCTCATTCACCCGCAGAATGTTGTTCTCCACCTGCTCCAGCTGGTTCTCATAAAGCTTCTTCTTCTTCAGGGCCATGGTGGCCGCTGCAGGCGGGCAGGGCGGCAAAGCAGACGCGGCAGTCAGCAACCAGCAGCACGCCGCAGAAGCCTGCATGGAACTCAGATGTGCATGCAGCAGCATGGGGCCGAGTGCCGCGCCGCCTCACCGCGCTTGTTATTCTGCTTCAAGAAAACCTTTGCCCGCTCAAGCTCCGCTGCGATCTTCTTCTCTAGCAGGTCCCGACGCTTAGAAAGCAGTTCCTCAGTCTGCAGCGGCAGTGGGGCTGGGCTCAGGTGGTGGCAGCTGCTACCGCGTGCCCAGTGTCTGGCATGCATATCTCCCCCATTCTCACTGCCTCTGAATACCTCGCCAAGCTTCTGAATCGCATCAATCGTGCTGCGGTATGGGCAGGAGCAATAGCAAGCATGGACGGTCAGAAGAAGGCGGTACAAGAGGCAAGCTCATGGGCTGGCTGCATCCGAGGCACAATGCAGACTGGCGGCCAGTGCAGCAGCGATTTTCAGGATCTCCCTGTGCGTCTAAACCTCACGGACCTGGTCTGCACAAGATGAATCGAGAGGAGGCACAGAAACAACATTGGCTGGAGGCGGAGGCGAGAGGGGCGCATGTGCGGCGGGGCTGGCATGGCAGCCTCAGCAGCGAATTCGGGGTACAACGAATCTGGCGCTGCTAATGCAGGTGTTCTGATTGCCTACCTGGCTTCGCTGGCTCACAGTAGACTGCGGCGGCTTGCTGGAGCTGGGGCCGCCGCCGACGCCACCTTCACTGCCACCAAAGAGCCGCTTGAACATCCAACCTTGAGGAGGCAGGGCGGAGGGTGACTGCAGTACACAGGGACGTCGCAATCAGCTCCTATGAGAAGGAAGATGCAATACAAATGGAGCAGTCTGCACCCTCGTTTGCAGCAGAGCAACGTGCAGCGGTGGGGCCCGCCAAAGTCCGGCCCCCGCCCAGCAGTGCCAGGCGAGGCCACTGTGCGCCGGCACGCCTTCAGCGCCAGGTGCCATGACCTGGACGCCTCTCTCGGCCAGTGGAGGCAGCAAAGCCAGCACGTCCAGCATCGATCCTGTGGCACGCACAGAGGCAGCCCCGCCACGGCCACACCAGGCCGAGCCTAGTAATTGCTGCACCGCACCTGCGCGGGAAGTGGACCACACGGCCAAGCGACGCGGGGCAGGAGACAGTGGCTGCCTGCAGCGGTGTTGACGGCTGCTGAAGGGACGAGAGATCGGTGGCAAGAGGTAGGGGGCGCACGGCCCGAAGGAGGGAAGAGGCGCGCAGGACACGTCGGCCTGGCTTTCCCATGGGCCCTTCAACTTCACCGCAGCACCCACCTTGTGCCACTCTGAAGCCCTGCACTGCATCGGTGCCTGCAGCATAACCTGCACTTGCACAGGCGATCGCCGCGACATCATTGCGACACCCCCGTTGCGGCCAGCGGCCTTGCGCGCCTGCCCCTGTGCGACTGCACCAATCCCAGAGCCGCATCCCGACCAGCAGGGGCCAGGCAGCCACTGTCTGCCGAGCCATGGCCGGCGGCGGGTGGCAGCACCTGGCGGTGGCGGCCAAGGAGCTCGCGGGCGCCACTGGCACGAAGGCCAAGGCCGTGACCCAGACGCTGGGCAAGGCAGTGGTGGGTTGCGGGGGGCAGCCAACACGCGCATGCCATGCAATCCTGCTGCCGCTGCCGCCACCGCTGCCAGCTGTCCTTGCTTGCCTGCTGGCCATGCCCTCAACCGCCGCCCCGATCGTCCCTCGCCTCCATTCTCCGTCCCTGCAGCTGGCCACCAGCAAGGAGGTGCGGCATCTTGTGCTGGATGACGGTACCGAGCAGCCTGGCGATGGGCAGCATGTGCAGGGACCCTTTGACCAGTCCCAGGAGCCGCAGGTGGTGGTGGATGCCTACGGCTTCAGCCTCACAGTCATGCCAGACCAGGCCGCCATCCTGGAGCGCTGCCGAGCCAGGCAGGAGGCGGTGCGGCAGAAATGGGCGCAGCACGTGCAGGAGGGCGGCCTGCCGCCGCCGGACGCGCTGAAGAAGCTATGTCGCAAGGTGAGCCGGGCCTGGCTGCGGAGGGCCCGCCGCCGTAGGGGTTGAAAGCAGGCCTTCGGTTCAGCAAGCCAGCGGCCCATGCCCAGCAGCATCCCTGCATCACCGCTGGTGCCGCCGCTGCTTTGCGGTGCAGGGCATACCGCCCGACATGCGGCGCCAGCTGTGGCTGCAGCTGTCCGGCGCGGCGCAGCGGCGGCTAAAGGTGCCGCCTCACTACTACGCGGACGCCGCGCTGCAGGGCGCCTCCTCGCCCTTTGCGCACCAAATAGAGCTGGTGGGTGGGCTGGAGGCGCGCAGCGCTGACGAGCTCTTCGCCCCGTTGCTGCTGTGCATGTGCTGGGAGGCGCGGCGCTCCTTTGTGGCCAGGCAGCCTTCCCTGGTGGCCACCCATCACGGCCTCTGGCTGTGCCCTCTCCGGCCGGCCCTGGCGCAGGACGTGCCCCGCACCTTCCCCAACAACGAGTGGGTGCAGAGCGAGGCAGGGCAGAACGCCGTGCGACACGTGCTGCTGGCCGCCGCGCGCCACAACCCCCGCGTCGGCTAGTGAGCGCCGGCTGCGCCTGCCGCCGCCCAGGGGTGGCCGCGGCGTGGCCCCACAGCCTACCCCCCACGTGCCTGCTCCTAATGTGCTGCTGCTGCTGCACTGCTGCTGCCGTACCAGCCCTGCCTGCTTGCCCCGCCTGCCAGTGCTCACACCCCTCCCCTCCCTCCCTCCCTCCTTCCATGTGCAGCTGCCAGTCCATGAACTACCTGGCCGCCATGCTGCTGCTGGCGCTGGGGCGGGACGAGGAGGACGCCTTCTGGGTGCTGGCCTCGCTCATTGACGACAACGACGAGGGTGCGCGGGGCGGCCGCTGGCGCTGCCGGGGCGCAGTGCGGCATGGGTCCGGGGGCGGGACCACAGCACTGGCCCGTTCCGCAGCCCTTCGCTCAGGATGCCTGAGCACCCCTGCCTGCACGCCCCATTCGGCCTGCTCATGCACCGCCTGCGGTACCACCCCCGCAGGCATCCTGTACCGCGACATGTACGCGCGGGACCTCACCGGCACGCACGTGGAGATGCGGTGCCTGCGGGAGCTGGTGCAGCACAAGCTGCCGCGCCTGGCGGCCCACATGGATGCCCTGGCCTGCGACATGTCCATACTGGCCACAGGTGGGTGCGTTTGTGTGTGTGTGTAGTGGTGGTGGAGGGGTGCAAGTGTGTGTGCGTGTGGGTGGTCCTGGGGGGAAGGGGCTCAGGGACGGAGGCGTGGAGTGCTTGCATGCGGCAGCTGCAAGCTGCGCTGCGGGCTTGGGAGGCGGCCTCCTCTACAGCGCAGGGCCCTGCACCACAGCGCATCCCTCGACCAACCGCTGTCTCCCGCCCGCCCGCCCCCGTGCAGACTGGTTCCTGTGCCTGTTCTGCACCAGCCTGCCCTCGGAGACGGCGGCGCGCGTGTGGGATGCGCTGCTGCACGAGGGCACCAAGGTGCTGTTCCGCGTCGCACTGGCCCTGCTCAAGCTACACGAGGGGGCGCTGCTGGCGCAGGACAACCCGGGGGAGCTGCTCAGGGCGGCGCGCCGGGTGGCGGCCGAGGCGTTTGACCGCGACGCGCTCATGCAGGCGCGCCGCGCCGGCGCCGACCGCCTGGCCGGCTTGCCAGCTGTGTCGTGCGTGACGCCTGGCGTGGCGCCTGCCTGGCGCCTGCCTGGCGCGGCCTGGGCGTTGCGTGGCCTGGCGTGCGCGGCCCCACACCTGTGCCGGCGTCCGCCGCCTGCGCCGCTTTCGCCCTGCGCCCCGCCGACCCGCTCCGCCATGGCGCTGCCGCGTGTGTGCTGCGTGTGTGCCGCAGGTTGCGTTTGAGGGGGTTGGGTCGATGCCCATGGAGCGCATCAACAGCTACCGCGCCCGCAAGCAGCGGGAAGTGGACCGGGAGATGGCGGAGCGCGAGACGCGGGTCAACCTGCGCCAGGCGGTGGCCAAGGACGGCTTTGTGCTGCAGGGCAGCGACGCGGAGCTGCTGCGCCGGCAGGCAGAGGCTGCCGCGGCGGCGGGCGGCGGCGGCGGCGGCGGCGCGGCGCCGGGCGCGGGTGACGGCGCCCAGGCTGACGGCGGTGGCGGCGCGCCGCGGGCGGGCGGCGGCCGCTGGGCGGCGCCGCTGCGGGCGCTGGGGGGCAAGGCCAAGGACACTCTGGATCGCGGGCGCATCCGCATCACTCATCGCAGGGGGCAGAGCCTGGGCGCCTCGCCGCTGCCAGACGACACCCAGCCCTACCCCTGACGGCACCCGCGCCGTGAACCCAGCCGGAGGGCTGCCGCGTTGCTTGATTGATCCTTGTTTCTGCACTGAGCATTGTGCGCCACTGCTATTATTGGCAAACGCAGCAGCATTTGCTGGCCCGCCTCAGGCGGTGTCGGCTGCTGCCAGCGCCGCATCCATATTTGCAATACACAGGAGCGTGGCAGGCCTGTGCCCATCATCTGCTGCTTTTGTGTGACCCGCTCATGCCGAGTTGGTGGCCACAGAGCGCCCATGCGTTGTGAGAGCGGTGGTCGGCGACGGCCCGCCTGGCGGGATGGCCGCCAGCGAGGACAGCCCAGGCCATGTTGCCATCTTCCAAGACCACTCCCCATGGCCGCGCTCATCTCAAACATTTGGCAGAGCATTGCACAGTTCTAGTCGACTGGCTCACAACCCTCCTGATCGGTTTTTGGGCAGGATGGCAGAGGACCAGCCTGAGGGTGCAGACATGGATCTGGACGACGATGAGGAGCTGCAGATGGCGCTCCTTGCCTCACTGGCCGAGGTAAAGTGCGACCTCGAGAAGACTGGCATGGCTGCATCGCGTCTCGTAGCGGCTGGGGCACCCTTGCAGGATCTAGGATGGATTTTATGAGTCCACAGGGGGGCTGCTAGGCTCACGGGGCTGCCGATAAAGACATGGCCTGGGCGATCGCCGCCCCTCACCCCCTGCAGGTTCAACCAGGAGGCCCACCAGCAGAGCAGCCAGGTGAGCGATTCACGCCTGGGGCAAGGGCTGCTGCAGGCGCCCCCACAGCTCCGACTGCTCCGCCGCTCCCGGCTTCTCGCTACTGCTGCCTGCGCTTCTGGGTGTGTATTCATGGGCATGCTAGTAGGCCCGGCTTGCTGGCAACAGAGGCGCCAACATGGCCTCGCGCATGTCTTCCATGCCCTGCCTGCAGTTGCCCCGCCTGCCGCAGCGCCGCCCCAGCAGCCGGCAGGCGTGCCAGCCGCCGCCGCAACCGACGCCCAGCTGAGTAGCCAGCAGCTGCTGCAAGCGCTGCAGGGGGCCATGGCGGCAGCCGCCGGCGGCGGCGGCCAGCCGGCGCAGCAGGGCTGGGCACAGCCGGAGCCGGCTGCCCCGCAGCCGGCCGCCATGCCAGCCCCGGCCCCTGCCGCCGCCCCGGGCATCCAGCTGACCGGCCAGCAGCTGCTACAAGCGCTGCAAGGGGCCATGGCGGCGGCTGCTGGCGCCGGGCTGCCAGGCATCGCCCCGCAGGCCGCCCCTGCGGCAGCACAGCCTCCTCCTCCCCAGCAGCAGCAGGCAGCTGCGCCCTCCACTTCCAGGCACGGCGGCGACCGCCACGCCACGACCCCCAAGCCCACCGTGCCAGCACCCGCCTGGACCAAGCAGGCCGTCAGCTGGGTGCTGCCCGCCAGTCAGCCAGACAGCGCGGTGCTGCCCAGCGCGGAGGCGGCGGCGCAGGGCGGCGCGGTGCAGCAGGCGTGCAGTAAGGTGGTGGGGCAGGGCGTGTCGCTGGGCGCGACCCACGGCGGCGGCGCCGGCTCGCTGCACCTGCCGCTGTCCCCGGCCCAGCCCGAGGGCAGCCTGAAGCTGACGGCGGCGGCAGTGGACGCGGCCATCGCGCGCCTGCCACCCGGCGGCGGCACGGTGCTGGCCCTGCAGGCCGCCTGGCTGCGCGCCGGCGAGGTGCTGGCGGGTGCCGAGGGGCAGCGACCCGAGGTGGCGGCCGTCATGCGGCTGTGGCAGGCGCGGCTGGCCAAGAAGGCTGCCGGGGTGCTGGCCACAGATGAAGACGACGACCTGTTCTTTGCCGGAGGCAAGCACCGCTCCGCCTTCCTGTCCGCTCTGGTGAGCCTCCTCTCCCCAGCCCGCGGGTGGCGGGGTGGGGCTGGCAGAGGTCGGACGTGGCGCGCAGGGGCTGCAGGCGGGCTGGGAGGATGCGCCGACAGGCGCACGCGCCCCACCGCTGCCCTCCCCGCCTCCCCGACCCTGTCCGCCGCGCCTGCAGGAGTCGGCGGGCGTGGCCCCCGCCTTTCTGGATGCGCTGGTGTGCTGCGCGTCCACGCCCGGCGAGGTGGCGCTGTGGGAGGGCGTGCTGCGCGACTCGTTTGCCGCCCTCGGCTCCTTCTCCTTCCTGGAGCAGCACAAGTCGGAGGGGGCGTGGAGGAGGTGAGAGTGGAGTGCTTGCTTCTTCTGGGCTGGGGCAAGCGAGGGCAGAGGTGGGATGGGCTGGGGCTGCGCTGGGCTGGGCTGGGTGGAGGCAGCGCGCGCGCTGGGCTGCGGGGTGCCGGGTGCCGCGCGGCCGGCAAGGTCCTCCGGCCGCGTGCCTCACCCTGCATGCACGCACCACCCCACACGCCCGCAGGCTAGATGTGGTGACTCAGTGCGGCGGCATGAAGCGCTGCCTGGCGGCGGTGCTGGCGCGGGAGGCGGTGGCGGCGGCGGGGGCGCGCGGCAGGGACGTGCAGGCGCGCTCGGTGCTGGCCCCGCTGCTGGCGCTGTCCACACTGCCCACCTACGGCGCCAGCGTGCTGCCCCTCAGCTTCCCCGCACGCGAGTGCTTCATGCAGCTCAGGTGGGCGGCCGGCTGTCTGCCCCTCTGTGCCTGGGTTTGCCCACGACGCCTTTCCTTGAAACAGCCGGGCGGCTGCGCCCGCTGAGGGAGGCGAGCTGCCTGCTTGGCTGCTGCGGCTGCTCCCCTTCTGCTCCCCTTCAAGCCCACATCCATCCGCCCGCCCACCCCCGCCGCCACACCCTCGCAGGAGCTACCCACGCAACCGCGGCGCCCAGGTTGAGTCGGAGTACGTGAGCATCCGGGGCGGCCTGCACCGCCAGTACGCCGCCGCCCACGAGATCTGCAAGCGCGTGGCGACGATGAAGGCGGGCGAGGGGCCGCTGCGGGGCCGCGAGGTGCTGTCCGCCTGGCTGGCGGCGGCGGCGGGGGCCAGCGCGGCGCGCGCCGAGGCCGGCAGCTACATAGAGCGAGTGCTGTCCCACCGGACGGCCACCTTCTACTCGGCAACGTGAGCCCCCCCCCCACCCACCTGGCCTGGCCGCGCGGGGCCGCAGACGGCCGCCTGGCTCAGCTTTGCATCGCCCGGCAGCTGGTGCGGGTGCGGAATGGCTGCCGGGAGCTGCTGGCAGGTGCGGGTGCGGCTGTGGGGGCCGCACCTGCCCGCTGATTCGCTTGTTGTTGGCCTGCTTGCCCCGCTGCAGGGACGGCTTCATGGTGGGCTGCCTGGCGGTGTGCCTGCGCTTCTGCCGCCCCTTCCTGGCCAGCCCAGAGAAGAAGCAGGGGGCGCTGCAGGTGGGGGGAGAGGGAGAGGCGCTGGCGTGGCCGTGGCCCGCGCCCTGCGCCCTGCGCCCTGCACAGCAGTTGCTCCTGTGCTGCACTTCACAGCAGGCAGCGCATGCCGGGTCGCCGTGTTCTGTCCATCTGGATCGGATGCCGGATCGGATGCCCCTGCTCCGCATGCCTCGCAGCACCTGGACCCAGCCTATTACCTGCAGCAGGCGCACCGCGTGGCGGGCGGCAGCCGCGAGCGCAGCCTGGCTGGCACCATGATGCCCGCCCCGCCCGCGGGCGCCTACCCCTTTGTCTCGCCAGACCGGCCCGACAGCGAGGCGCCGCACTTTGTGGCGGAGGTGTTCTTCATGACGCAGGTGGGGGGCCTGCCTGTGTGGGCGTGTATGTGTATATGTGTGCTGGTTTGGCGGACGGGCCAGCCAGCGCACGGCCCATGTTGATGGGATCCAGCCGCGCTTCTGCGCCTGCTGCCAAACAAGCTGCGGCCTGCCGCTGCTGCCGCACGTGTTGACGCGTTTCTGCTGCGCCGCTCGCGCCGCCCCTCCCTCGCCGCGCCCTGCGTAGCGTCTGGTGCATGTGGGACTGCTGCCCGCGGTGTATCGCTACCAGGCGCTGGCAAAGGCGCTAAAGCGGGCTGCCGGGGAGGAGGAGGAGGACGATGCTCCGCTGGAAGACCACGCGTGAGTGGCGGGCGGCGGCGCCAGCGGCCACAAGGGGTGCCCGCCCGGCTCCCGGGCTTGCCGGCGCCCGCCGTGCCGCGCTGCTCCCGTGTCTTGCCGTGTGCAGCAATTCGGTGCCTCCCACACCATGTCAGCCATGCAGCCCGCCCCCTACAGCCCTCCACCTGCCTGCCCCTTGCCTGCCCGGCTGCGTGCCCCCACTGCCCCTCCACATACCCCTGCCCCCTGCAGCTCCACCGTGGACCAGTGGCTGCTGTACGACGCCATGCGCGCCCAGCTGCTGGATCCAGACCTGGCCAATGATAGCGTGCATTTCATGGAGCTGCAGGTGCGAGCGTGAAGCCGCTGTGTGTGTGTGTAAGCAGGGTGGGCGGTGTGGGAAGGTGTGCGCGGCGGCAGGCGAGCAAGCCAGCGGCTCTCGGCGCAGGGGTGCAGGCAGGCGGCCGGGGGAGGGCAGGCGTGGCCGCCGCTGGCGTGCGATTGACCACCACCACCCCTGTCGCCGTGCCGCCGCCCGCAGGCGCGCTGGCTGGTGGCCCTGCTGCAGCGCGGCCCCGAGGCCGCCAGGGCCGCGTTTGGCGCCACCCCCGAGAGCGTGGTACGGGACATGACCGCCTGGCTGAGGTGGGGCGGGGCCGGGCTGCCTGCAGGATACTGCCGGATACCTGCAGTACGCCAGCTGCACGCTGCCGCCCTTTCGCCCCACGCCGCCGCTTAACACACCCATTCCACCCACCCCCGCGTCACACGCGCCTCCCCGGGCCCCTCCCGCCCCGCAGCTTCCTCATCTATAATGGCTCCAGCGACCTGCTGGGCGGCATCGACATCGCCGTGCTCGTCACCTGCCTCACCTCCCTGCTCAAGCACACCCGCCTCGTCACCTCCCCACCTGTCCACGCCTCCATCGTGCAGCTGCTGCTGGCAATGCTGTCGCCGCAGGTGGGGTGCGCAGCGACAGGGGCAGTGAGGGGAAGGGACAGACACGGGGAGGGAGGCGGCATGGTATGCCCACCCCTGCCAGCGTTGGTTTAGCCCGCCGCTCAGCTCGCCTGCTGCTGACGTGTCTCCCGGCGCCGCCCCCCCCCCCCCCACCCCACCACCACCACTCCTCCCCTCCCGCAGCTCGACTACCGCCGCATGGCGCACGGCGGCGCGCTGGGCCCGCGCCGCGTGTCCCCCGCCGAGGCGGCGCTGGTGACGGCGGTGCTGGGCACGGGCGCGGCGCAGACCGACCTGCTGCCCGCGCTGATGGCGGCGTATGCGCACGCAGACCACGTGGTGGGCCTAGATGTGGACCGGGACCAGGTGGGTGGGAGGGGGGGGCGGGGGAGAGCTGTGCGTGTGTGTGTGTGTGTGTGTGTGTGTGTGTGTGTTATGGGTTTGTTGGGGGGTCGCAGGGCAGTGCGATGACAGTGCATGGCCCGCGCCACCGCTCTGCACAATGCGGCCATCACCACCGCTCGCCACCACCACCGCCGCACCCACCACCACACTCACCACCACACCCACCACCACCGCACACACCACCACCCTCCCCGCCACCACCACCCTCCCCCGCAGTACGACAAGTTCCACCTGCGCGGCTGCATCGACGCCCTGCTCATGGAGCTGTGGCGCGACCCAAACTGCGCGGGCAGCCTGACGGCGGCGGCGCAGGCGGCGCCCGACACCCCCGCCGGCGCCCTGTTTGCCGACTTTGTGGGAGCGGTGCTGAACGACCTCATGTACCTGCTCAAGGACTCGCTGCAGGTGTGGAGCGGGGCTGGGGCTGGGGCTGCGGCTGGGAGGGTGCATGCGTGTGTGTGGCGCATGCGTGTGTGTGCCCTGTGTGGGTCCGTGCCGGCGGCCCAGAGGCTGGCATGGCGCCAGCAGTGTGGCTGCTCCCAAGTTCACCCCACATTCTACCCCCACATGCCGCCCACATACACACCCCGCCCTTGCTGTCCCCCACGCAGCGCCTGGAGGACATTCACGCGCTGGAAGTCAGCAAGGAAGACGCGGCGCGGTGGGCGCTGGTGCCGCAGCGGGAGCGGGAGGAGAAGCAGGTGGGCGGGCAGAGGGGTTGGCGGGCGGCGCACGCGGATCCCTGGTGCGGCAGGTGTCGCGGCCAGGGCCCCACCGCTACCGCCAGTTGCCACCACCACTGCCCCATCACACACACACACACACACACACACACACACACACACACACGCGCGATCTCACCTGCCCCGCTGCGTCTGTCCCCACACCGCCCCCTCCCACCCACCCGCCCACCCACCCGCAGGCCTTTTACGAGAGCCAGCAGGGCGCCACCCGCGGCTTCATGCGCATGGCCGTCTCCACCCTGGCCATGCTCAACACGCTGGTGGAGAACGCGGCGGTGCGGGCGGGGTTCATGCAGGAGGCGGTGGCGGCGCGCGCGGCGGCGGCGGTGAGCATTATTGTTTTTGGCTGCCTGCCTGCCGTGCCTGCCGCGTGTGCCACGCTGCCTCCTGCTGCGTGTGCTGCTAACATGCACATCATGCTAAGCCCCACTCCAAGACAAACCCTGTCGCCGCCTCGCCTGCCTGCCCGCAGGCGGTACACTTTGTGGAGATCCTGGTGGGGCCCAAGTGCACGGAGCTGGTGGTACAGGACCCCGGGCAGTACGGCTTCAGCCCCGACTCCCTCCTCGTCTCCATGGTCTATTTTGCCGTCAGGCTGGCGGAGCAGCCCGCCTTTGTGCAGGCCGTCAGCGCGGTGAGTGAGCATGCTGGGCGGCAGGAGACGCACCCCATGTGTGTGTGTGTGTGTGTGTGCATGTGGTGGCACCGCGGCCGCCCACGTCTGCACGATGCCGGCCCCGCTGTCGACTTTGATGCTGCGTTAGTATCGCCACCCTGGTACTGCAGGTACCGGACTACGACGAGACCATCATCCAGCGCGCCGTGGACACCCTGGCTTCCAAGCAGCTGGGCGAGAACGAGCACCGGCGGCGCCTGGAAGCCCTGGCAGCAGGCAAGGCCGCCTGCCTGTGTTGATGTACGCCCGCTCATGTGTTCATGCTTGTAGAGGTTCCTGCATGTTTGCCGCATGCTACTCTGCACACTTACGGCACCCCCACCCCCTAGCCACTGCCATTCTGCCTGTCCCGCCCCGGTCTCACCCCAACCATCACCCCCACCTCCCCCACCCCCTCTGCAGCCGTGCGCCAGCTGCGTGGCGAGGGCGACAGCGGCGCGGACGCAGGCGCGGCGCGGGGCCCCGGCTCCCCGCCCGACCTGTCGTTCCAGCAGGAGGAGCCTGCTGAGCTGGAGGGCGCCTACGTGGCGGAAGTGCAAGAGCTGGCAGTGGGCGACTTTGACGCCTCCCTGCCCCGCGCATACAACCGCAGCTTTGCCGCCAAGGCGGAGCGCCAGGAGGGGGACACAAAGGGTGCGGCGGGCAGGCCGTGGCGGGCTGGGGCGTGGGTGGAGGGGCGGGAGGGCGTGGCGCCGCCCGCGTGCCCCCATAAGCGCTCGACCTCTGCTTGTGGCGCGTCTCGCTCATGCTCATGCCGCTCATTGCGCTTGTGCCGCTCGTTGCACACACCTGCACCTGACCGTGCGCCCGCCCTGTGTTCAGGCAAGATGAAGGCTCTCAGCAAGGAGGTCCGCGGCTTCTCGGGGCGCACCCGCCTGCCCATCTACGCCGCCAGCTCCATCCTGGTGCGGTACGACTCGGGTGAGCGGCGGTACACTGTACCGCACACAGTACCCTCGTCACGGTACCGCCCACACATGACCTGGCCACGCCACCCACTCTCGCCTGCCGCCAGCGGCTGCCCCGCGCTGGAACCTGCCCCGGCCTCGGCTCCTGGGCTCGCATCCGCCCCGATCCACCCGCCACCTCCCACCCACCCAACCACCCGTGACCCCGCCACCTCCCCACCACCCGACCGCCCGTGACCCTGCCCCCCTGCCCCCACCCCCTCAGACCGCATGGACAAGATGCGAGCGCTGATCACGGGCCCCGAGGACACGCCCTACTACGGCGGCTGCTTCATCTTCGACGTCTACTTCCCAGGTGGGTGGGTGGGTGGGTGGGTTGGGGGTGGAAAGAGGGTGAGAGGAGGGTGGGAGGAGGGTGGGTTGGGTAGTTGCGCCTCCTCACCTTACCCACACCCCCCTACGGTGTGGCAACCCACACACCCCTACGGTGTGGCAAGCAATCGACGGGACGACGACCCAAGCAATGGACGGGCTCGCATCGGGTGCTCGTCTCCGTGCCGAGACCTGGCCGCCCGCAACACGCACATTCACATGTGCACGCGCGCACACCCACCCACCACCCGCCCACCACCCGCAGACGACTATCCCAACGTGCCGCCGCTGATGGAGCTGGAGACGACGGGTGGGGGCGTGGCGCGCTTCAACCCAAACCTCTACGCAGGTGGGTGCGGGTGCTGCTGGTCTGCCGCACAGGGCAGCGGAGCAGGACACGCCCTGGGTGCGCAGGGCTGGAGAGCTGTGTGGCCAATGCACGGCTGGCCCCTCTCTCTCTCTCACACACACACACACGCACTCTCTGCTGCAGACGGCAAGGTGTGCCTGAGCCTGCTGGGCACCTGGCACGGCGGCGACGAGAGCGAGAAGTGGCGGCCGGGCCACTCCAACCTCTTCCAGGTCCTGCTGTCGCTGCAGGTGGGTGCTGGGCAGGCGCCGCTGGGTCCCCCGCTGCGCCCTGCTGCATGCGGCCTGCCAGGCCGGCATGCGCGTGCAGCAGGAACCGGCGGGCGCATGAGCGGCAGCGTATCGTGGGTGGCGTGCCCGCTCCCACCGCACATCGCGATGCACCCCTGATGCGCCTGCCCCCTGTCCCTGCCCCCTGCCCTGCCCTGCCCTGCCCTGCCCCGCCCCCCCCCACCACCACCCCCCATACCACCGCAGGGCATGATCTTCATCACCGACCCATACTTCAACGAGCCCGCCTACGAGGGCATGCGCGGCACCGCAGAGGGCGCGTCCTCCTCCCTCAAGTACAACTCGGGTGGGTGCCTGCGCTGTGCTGCGCTGCGCTGTGCTGCGCTGCGCTGGGCTGCGCTGCGCTGGGCTGGGCTGGGCGGCTGGGAGAGGGCCAGGCGCTGTGGGGCAGCGCCGCACCCCGCCCGGCGAGCGGCGCTGCCCTGTGCTGTGCCAGCCATAGGCTGCCCAGCCCTCCCAGCCCGCCTGCTCCCCGCACCCGCGACCCTGCGCGACCCGACCCTGCTCCCTGCTCCCTGCACGCCACCCTGCGCAATTGCAGAGATCTGGCTGAACAACATCCGATACGCGATGGTGGACCAGCTGCGGCGGCCGCGCCCCGGCTTTGAGGCCGCCACCCGCGCCCACTTCCGCCTGCTGAGGTGGCGCATCATGCGGCAGTGCGCGGCGTGGATCGAGCAGGCGCAGGCGCTGGACCCGCTGTTCCAGGTGGGGCGGGGCAACAAGGCCCACGTGCGCGCGCCGCACATGGCACCCGTGCCCAGCCTGCCTGCCTGCCTGTGGGGCCTCCCCTGCCTGCCAACATGCCGCTGCTGGCCCGCTGCCCGGCTGCAGAAGCGGCTGAGGGATGGGGTGGTGGAGCTGCACAGCCTGCTGGCGGCGCTGTGAGCAAGCATGGCGGCACCCTGCTACACCTGCTGGCTCGCGGGCTGCGAAGACACGCCCCTGCACACGTGTAAACTGCCACTGCCATCCTCGCCCAGGATCGTGCTGGAAATCAGGGGGGCCTCTTACAGTGCGTGTTGCTCGGCACAGCAGTTTTTGAGTTTGATGGTTTCGTTTTACGTGGCACGGGGGGACGGGCTCACGCAGCGGGGCCTAGCTACACGGGGCGGGGCAGCAGGCCGGGCGCTTCGCGCCAGCCGCCGCGCCCGCTACAGTTGAATACATCTAAGCAGGGGACTGCTGACTAGCTATAGTTGGAAACCCAGGGCGCTGTGCAGAGAACAATGCAACGCATGGCGGGGAGGGCTGGGGCCTGCCTAGATTGGGAAGGGGATGAAAGTAGGGGAAAATGGGGCCTGGAAAAAGAATGCACGCAAAGGAGTAATCTGACTGGCGATGGTGGTGTGCGAGGGTGGTGGGCAACCCTGCCTGCCTAGCGGTGCCTACAACCTATATTCGCGGGACAGGGAGGCGGGGAGGCGACTAGGCACCCTCCCCACCCCGCGCCGTGGGTGGTGGGTCAAGCACGCCGCCCCGCAGGCTGCCCGGCAGGCAGCCCGCGCCGGGGCGGCGCCTCTCGCAGTGTCGGGCGGTTCGCTGCGGTAAGGTCAAGGCAGGCGCGGGGTCGCTCTGTGTGGATGGGTGTCTGGGTGTCGTGCGCCCGGTGGCTGCAGCTGCGGTGCCAGGTCAGCATGCCAGGTCAGCTGCTCAGAAGTCCTCATCAAAGGCGATGGCGTGGTTGTCGTTGCTGCCCAGCCCGTTCATCACGCCGGCCTTCTGGTAGTCGCCCACCTGCCCACCAACACAGCCAGGGCAGGGCAGCGGGGGGGGAAGGCAGACAGTCAGACAGCGAGCGCCCAAAAACAAAGGGCAGGGAGAGCGGCGGAGCCGGCCGCGTCTGCGACCCGGCCGGCCCGGCCCTGCCAAGGGTCAGCCGTGCACAGCAATGCGGGCTGGACAGGGCCAGCTGGCACAGGGGTGAGGGGGCGCACCCGCTTCTCAAAGAAGTTGGTCTTGCCCCTGCAGGACAACACGCGGGGGAGCAGGTGCGGTGGGTAGGCAGCCAGGAAGGGCTATGCAGGCACAACAGACACGGCCGCCAGCATCTACACGGCCGCAGCAGCCCGCGGCTGCATCCCTGCCCGGCCGATGCACTGCGCTGTGCCGCGCTGTGGCGGCGCCACTCACTGCAGCGAGATGAGCTCCATCCAGTCGAAGGGGTTGGACACGTTGTAGACCTGAGGGGTGGAGGCACGAGGGGGCGGGGTGGCAGCGTGGGTGGGCAGCAGTGGAGGGCTGCCATGGGGGCAAGCCTCGTGGCATGCATGACCCCCAGCAGAGCAGGCGTGCGCCCCGCGCAAGGCGCGCCCACGCGCCCCGCGGCAGGCGAGCCCCGCAGCAGGTGCCCCGATCCGATCTAATCCAAGCGTTGGCAGGCGCAACCTAATCCAAGGCAGAGCCAAGGCAGGCGGAAGCAAGCAAACACCTTGGGGTTGCCCAGCGCCACCAGCAGGCGGTCTGCCACAAACTCGATGTACTGTCCCATGAGGCGCGAGTTCATGCCGATGAGGTCCACGGGCAGCGCGTCGCAGATGAACTCCTTCTCAATCTCCACCGCCTGCGTCACAATCTCCGCCACCCGCTCCTCGCTCAGCCGGTTGTGGATGTGCCTGGGGAGCGGGGAGCGGGGAGGAGGTGGAGGGAGGAGCAGGGGTTGTGTGGGTGAGCATGGGAGTGTGGATGGGAGCGGGTCGGGGGTGTGGTTGGGCGTGGGCCCTTGAGGGGGAGAGACCTTTCTGTTGCGCACCGCGCCCGCAGCCCCCCACTCGCACCCGCCCACCCAGCGATCCGCCGCCACCAGCCGCCCACAGCCCACCCACACCCCGCACCTGTACAGCAGGCAGGCAAAGTCGGTGTGCAGTCCCTCGTCGCGCGAGATGAGTTCGTTGGAGAAGGTGAGGCCGGGCATGAGTCCGCGCTTCTTGAGCCAGAAGATGGAGCAGAAGGAGCCGGAGAAGAAGATGCCCTCCACGCACGCAAACGCAATCAGGCGCTCCGAGAAGAGGTCGGAGCTGCGGCGGGCGGGGCAGGCAGGCGGGGAGGTGGAGGCAGGTGTGGAGTTGAGCACGCAGCAGGTGCGAAGATGGAGATGCCGCCCGCCGCTGGCAGAGAACCCAGTGAATACGCTGGCATGCGTGCCGTCCTGGCCGCCCCCCCACCCCCACCCCGCCCCCACTCACCCGTTGATCCACTTGAGCGCCCAGTGCGCCTTCTTGCGCACCACCGGCACGGTGTCTATGGCATGGAACAGCTTGTCCTTCTCCTTGGGGTCCTTGATGTACGCCTCCAGCAGCAGGCTGTACATCTCGCTGTGGATGTTCTCCATCGCAATCTGGAAGCCGTAAAAGGCGCGGGCCTGCGGAGGCGGCGGCGGCGCAGCGCGGGCACGGCGCGGCGACAGCAGTCGAGCGGCAGGGAACGGCCGGCCGTGCGGCGGGATAGGGCTTAGCACCGCGGCCGCCAGCGACACTCGTCCGCCACGCCAGTCCCGTCACCTCCCGCCCCAGTCAGCCGCCCCAGCCAGCCAGCCCAGGCAGCCGGCCCAGCCACCTTTCCCCCCGCGCCCCTCCTCCTGCTGCCGCCTCACCTCTGGCACCTGCACCTCCTGCATGAAGCGCGCCCCCAGGTTCTCGTTGACGATGCCGTCAGAGGCGGCGAAGAAGGCGAGGACGTGTGACACAAAGTGGCGCTCGTCGTCGCTCAGCCGCTCCCAGTCCTTGACGTCGCTGCCGAGGTCGACCTCCTCAGCTGCAGGCGGGCGGGCAGGGGAGGGCAGGGGGCAGGGCACAGAGGGGTGGGCTGGCGGCAGTGGGCGAGGTGGTGGGTATCCGGATAGGAGGGGGCGAGGGTGAGGAGGAGCGGGGCGAGGAAGAGGTGGGGGGGAGGGGAGGTGGGGAGGTTGAGGGGTCACGCACGAAAGCCGCAGGCGGTACAAGCGGGGCAGCTGCAGCGGCAGCGCAGCCCGCACCCGTCCAGAAGGAGGCCTCTGCCTTCTTGTACATCTCCCAGATGTCGCGGTACCTGCACAAACAAACGAGGAGGAAAGAAGCAGAGGCGGAGGGGAGCAAGAAGAAGCGGTTCAGGGTGGCAGGCCGGGGTGGAGGTGTGAGGTGAAGCGGGCGAGGAGGAATGTCGTGTGTGGGGAGCTGGCTAGGGCATTGCCCGTGTGGCGCGCAGGCTGCCTGCAGGGGCGCGGCGAGGCAGCCGCACTGCCGGCGGGCCTGCGCCCTGGCCTGCCGCGCTTACTTGATGGGGAACATGACAAAGCGGTCGTCATTGCTGGCCAGCAGCGGCTCCTGGGAGTCTGCAACAGCCGGGCAAGGAGGAGCGGGCGGCGGGGCGGGGACAGGCGTGTTGGAACCCGGTGTGCCATGCTTCTTTTCGGCAAACCCACCACAAACCGGGCAGCACGGTCCCAGCAAGACCCCCTGGCAAGCCGGAGGGCAGGGCACAGTGGTGGGACAGGCGGCGGCAGCCACAGCCAGGCGGCGGGCGGTTGAAAGCGGCGGCGCGGGCCACACGCGGCGTGGGACACCCCGATCGCCCTCGGAGGGCGCGCATGGGTCACGCATTGCAATGCTGAAGCGGCCGGGCGGCTTTGTGTGGCGCAGGCTTTGAGATGAGCCGGCATCATGACGCGAGGTTTGAAAGAGCGCCAGCCCGGGGCGAGCCGCCCGCCGCAGCAGCGTGTACCAGGCCCACAGCACCCTGCCGGGCGTGAACAGGGGTGCCACTCACCCTCCAGGCTCTGCTCACGACCGGCGTCCATCACTGCCACTGCCACTGTATTCTAAAGGCAAGGGAGGATACGGATGGTGGTGGAGGGATGGGGGATGGGGGATGGGAGGGCGAGGCCGGTGGGTTTCGCGGCTGTTCAAGCGGCGCCAGGAAAGAACCTAGCGTGCGCGACATGGCGTGTGCTAAACCACCCCTCAGAGATGGACCAGGCCAAACGTAATAAAGGCGCAGAAGGGCAAGACTGTCATGAGCGAGCTTGGTCTATGTTTTCATTTCGAAATGGGGTGATGGGCTGCACAGGACAAGGGCTCCTAGCCTTGCATGGCACTCAGCACCCCGCCGTTGCCCGCCAGTCCCAACCGCTCCTCAACCGACAGTGCCCGTCGAGTTGCACCGGCATGGCAGTTACATGGGCATGGCAAAGGCACGCGATGACGCTGCACACGCACGACCATGGACTCCCAGCACTGCCTTTGCCTTGCAGGAACAGCGTGTGCCACGAGCGGCCACAAGCGCGACCGCTACTCCCCCCCTCCTCCTCCTTCACCCTCCTCCAACGCATCGTCTAGGTTGAACTTGCGCTTCTTGAAGAAAGTGAGGTCGGCGCTGTCCAGCTTCGGCCGCTCTATCCGCCCCAGCAGGCTCTCCGGCACTCTGTCCAGCGATCGCCCGCCAAACAGCGGCGTGGCGCTCAGCGGCGGCCCCCCCTGCTGCTGCTGCTGCTGCTGCTGCTGCTGCCCGGCGCTGGACGCCTCGGCTGCGCCGCCGGCCCCCGAGTCATCCCCATTCTGCTGCTGCCCCGCTTGCTCTTGCTGCTGCACATCTGGCTGCGCACCTGCTGCCGCCGCTGCCGCCGGCTCCGCGCCGCGCTGCCGCGGCTTGGGCAGCTGGTCCAGGCTGGAGGGCAGCGGGTCGGTTCGGAAGTAGCGGTGCTGCAGCGCGTCGGCGGCGGAGATGCGGCGGGAGGCGTCCAGCGCCACCATGCGGGACAGGAGGTCCAGCGCGTCCTCGCTGGCCTGCGCCGCGGATGAGGAGTGGAGGGCAGGCAGGGGCAGGCTGGGTGGCTGGGTGGCTGGCTGGGCTGGATGGGGGACAG